TGGAGTGCAGGGGTGCAATCTCGGCTCACTGCAACCTCTGCCTCCCAGGTTCAAGTGATCCTTCCACTTCAGCCTCTCAAGTAGCTCGGATTACAAGCATGAGCCACCATGCCTGGCTAATTTTTATATTTTTAGTAGCGATGGGGTTTCACCATGTTGGCCAGGCTGGTCTTGAACTCATGACCTCAAGTGATCCCTCTGCCTTGGCTTCTCAAAGTGTTGGGATTATAGGCGTGAGCCACTGTGCCCAGTCTGTAAAACTTTCTACTAAAAAAACATGAATTCACATAACTCAGGAATGCAGTTTCACATTAGCAGATAGGGCAATTCAAAGTTTGCTCTACCCTTCTCTCACCCTGCCAGAAATAGTGTCAATGTTTTTTGTAAAGTCAGATTTTTTTCTCATTCCTTAGTGCTTTCTGATTAAAGTTGGAGTCAAATTACTAAATTGTGGGGATGGGAATTCAGAATCTCAGTCCAAACTGCTTCAGTGAGAAAGGGTAAGAGGATTAGTCACATGCTCCTTCAGCAACCAGAAACATGAAGTTTGAGCTTATACATTACTGGTTTGCAAATACTTTTTAGCCATTTCCCTGTATCTTATTTCTTCTCCAAAATTTCTTCTTTTTTACAATATACTGTTGGTATTAAATCTGAATTAATCAAGTCTGAAAAATATCACACTGTAAACCAGAATTCAGACACTCAGCATGAACAAAGCTTAATATGTACCACATAGAGCTTTAATAAGTTACCATTGTCCAAACATGCCTCCATGCCTTTTTATCTATAGCTTTCATTGCCAGAAATTCCTTTATCCCTTTTACTACCTGAGCAAGCTCTAACTCAGGGGTCAGCACACTATGGCCGACTACTGGTTTGTAAATAAACAAGTGTTTAGAATGCTGCCAAGCTTGTTTGTTTATGTACTGTTTATGGCCACTTTTTGTGCTACCATCACAGAGTTGATTAGCTCCAACAAGAGACTATATAACCTGAAAAGCCAAGAATATTTACTATCTGGGCCTTCAGAGAAAAAAAAAAACCTGCTGATTCCTGCTCTAACTCAAGTTCCATCTCCCTCTCTTAGATGTTTCTGGGTTCCTGTGACATTTACCTACTTTTGACATACTGACAAATGTTACTGCCCTGAAAGAATAATTATTTATGGGCTTGAACTTAAGGGGGGAGATCAAGACTTACTATTTATCTATGTATTTCTGTTGTCTATCAAGTTACTACGCAATGCTCAATAAATGCTGGCTGAACAAATCACAGAAAACAAACCTGCATGCTGGACATTTTGATTTGCTTGCAGCTGAGGGGCTCCCGAATTCCCAGGGGTGGTTGCTGTGGTCGAAGGCACCTGACCTTGCATAAAGTTCGGATTGGCCTGTCCTGGTGAGAAGCCAGGTGGGAGGCGTTTAGGCATTCCTTAATAGAAAACAATGAGTAAGGCAGTTACCTAGCAAATTTATACTCTTGCTTAGATATGGAATGAATAAGGAAGGATGAGCTGCATGAAGTCTCCACTGGCTTAGCTCTCTCTGTCACACTGGTAGGATCTTTAATAATAAGGTTGGGAAAGATGGTTAAAAAAATCAACACAATCTTTTATATGAGCATTAATGAAAAATAAATACTAAAAAATTTACACTTAGAACATGCCAAGGAAAAGATGGCAATCTGCTCCCTAAATGTGATGAGGCCACGCCACAGCAAGGTTTGAGGGCTCACTTTTCTCTGTAATTGTTAACAATGGACCTCAAAACTTTACATACTTTAACACAGGCACCAAAGGAATATGCTAAATTCTCTCATTTCAAACAAATTGATGTGAAATAGTATAAAAGAAAGAACTGGGTCCTGATATTAAGGATAGATTGGTGATTTTTTTTTTTTTTCCTTTGAGGGAAACTGGTGACAAGAGTCTCCTTTGCAGAAAATTTCCCCTCAATATTGCACTTGTCTCTTTGGAAGAGACAGGAGACTAGAAACAGTTCACGGGAGCTTCAAAGTGATGTTATATTAAATCATTATGCTTTCTGCTCATAAGGTTTGCTGTGATTCTGACAGCTTTGGTACCAAAAACCATACTCTACTGGAATCTTTCTCAGGTATCAGTTCCTTTTGGAAAGGGCTAATTTTAGAAAACAAATTTATAATAAGGAGAATCTCAGAACCCACTTATCATTTACAACACAGGCCTTGATGTGGCCAGATCACCTAGGTGAGCATATCATCTGCTCTATGAAAGCATCAAGACCTAAACTCACTTAAAAATTTATTATATTCATCCATTTATTTATTTATTTATTTAATTTTTTTTGAGATGGAATCTTCCTCTGTTGGCCAGGCTGGAGTGGCGCAATCTTCGCTCACTGCAACCTCCGCCTCCCAGGTTCAAGCAATTCTCCCTGCCTCAGCCTCCCAAGTAGCTGGGATTACAAGTGTGCACCACCACACCTGGCTAATTTTTGTATTTTTAGTAGAGACGGGGTTTCATCATGTTGGCCAGGCTGGTCTTGAACTCCTGACCTCAGGTGATCCGCCTGCCTCAGCCTCCCAAAGTGCTGGGATTACAGGCGTGAGCCACCGCGCCCGGCCCATTTATTTTTTAAGGGCCAAATTTTCAGTGCCCTGAAAAGCTCTTTGTAGACAAATACGCATTTGTCCTTTCTTTAACAGTGACAAGTCCCATTTGCATGCTCCCACTGTAATTAAATCAGTAATCACATTTGCAGGAGGGACTACCCAGCTTCCACTGATCCAGGGCTAGATACCCAGAACAGTGAAATTTGGAGCTGAAACACTCTTGCATTTTCTAAGAACTTCTTAGGATTCAAATATTAGAGCCTGCATGTCAGCGAAATTAATTATAAGAGAGTGAAAGACTGATGAGCAACTTAACTTCACCAGAAACCATGGGAACATGCCTTTGCTATGTTGTACTAAAGATGCAAGGGTTTTTTTCTGGGTAGGCAATGGGTGTCTTTTGGTGGGGGGTATGTTTATCAGATGACAGTATTAACTGACACTCTCTATACCTTACTGAAAAGCTCCAAGCACATTCATGTGCACTAGATCAATGATTAATAAGAATAAATAATAAACATGGAGATGGATAAGTTTTACTGTAATCGTTTTACCTCTCACACATTAAGCTCCATTGCTTTTTCTTCATACAAGAGGCACCTTACAAAATAAATAAATAAATCTCCTTTAGGTATAACTGGTGGAATTCCCTCTCTAAGGAGCAGGCATTGGCATTATAAAACTATAAAAGTCAATGATTTCTGAACTTATTCCCCTTTAATACTTTAATCAAACTTAACAAGTACCATGCTTACTATTTTATTAACTAGGATTATCAAAATTGATAACTAGAAGGGCCTTTTCTTCAATGAGACCCTGTTCTTGTCATTTTTGCTCTATTGAATAATCTTAATTTTTCAACAACTGAGAAGTTTAAAATTGTTAACAAAATGCATTTTTCTTCTGGACATTTTAATTTACTATTACAAGATCAAGCAAAAATAATTTGAAAAACAAAATGAACATCTCTACATTGAATTTTACCTGCACTTTAGTCCAGAGAGCTAGCTTAAATTTAACCAACAAGATGCTGCATAATGTATCAAGTTAACTAAGTCATATCAAGTGTCACCACCATATCCACAAAACCAAATAATTACATCCTTATTCCACTCCCTCCATTAAGTCTAAAAACTGAAGTTCTGCTAAGGTCTACCTCCAGTAAAGTTACCAACACAAACTGCTACCATGTTCCTCACCTCCTAGGCCTGGATGTAAACTCTGTGGCCCCTGGTTTGGTGGCTGCTGCTGCATCACCATGAAGTTAGGTGGCACATTTCCCTGTTGAACCATAGGACTCCGACCCGGAGAGCTGACAGGCTGCTGAAATCCCTGGGGAAGTGGGTTATTTTGAGATGGCCTTGGTCCCATCTGCTGCTGAGTTTGGTTAACCGTCGGGGAGGATGCAGGGGATCCCTGCTGGAAGGAGGAGGGTGAGGAGGCAGGAGACTTGTTGGTGAGGTGGGGCTGCTGCAGGGGAGTTGGGACCCTAGAGGGCCCTCCCTGCAAACTCTTCATCTGAGGAGCTGTGAACTGGCCTGGATTGCTCATCTGAGGAAAGTTTGTGTGGGCCTGTGAGGCTTGCTGGCTGCCAAAGGGATATGGAGGGGGAGGGTGGGAAGGCGTCTGTACCGTGGCTAAGGATGGTCTTGCCTGGAGTTGCTGTTGCATTGGGCCAGGCAAGGGAGCCTTCTTCCACCCTTGGTTTGCAGTCATTGTGCCCAGAGAACTCTGGGCTGGAGGAGGTTGAAGGGCTCCAGAAGGCAGCTGGTTCCAGCCTGGAGGAACAGGCACCTGAGTTGGGGCAGTAAACTGGGGTCGCATTCCCTGTGGCTGTTGCTGCTGATGTTGCTGTGGGGGTCTTGCCTGCAACTGTTGCTGCTGCTGCTGCTGCTGCTGTTGCTGCTGTTGCTGTTGCTGCTGCTGTTGCTGCTGTTGCTGCTGCTGCTGCAGCTGGGGAAAATTAGCTGGGTTCATTTGTCTGTTCACAGAGACAGGCTGCATTGGGTGGTGCGGGGGAGCTAAAGATCCTGAGGGATGACTTTGCTGCTGTATATGGAGCCCAGGGAGGAGTGGATCCATTGCATCTGTTTAAAGATAGTCAACAAAGCAATAATTAACCTACTGCAATCTAGATCCTAGAGCAGTGACCTTTGCAATTCTGGATATATAGAGTAAAATCTGCTGGTACTATTCAATAAAATAAATGGTTGTGAATACCTTCTTTTTTTTTTTGATACGGAGTTTCGCTCTTGTTACCCAGGCTGGAGTGCAATGGCGCGATCTCGGCTCACAGCAACCTCCGCCTCCTGGGTTCAGGCAATTCTCCTGCCTCAGCCTCCAGAGTAGCTGGGATTACAGGCATGCGCCACCATGCCCAGCTAATTTTTTTATATCTTTCGTAGAGACGGGGTTTCACCATTTCGACCAGGATGGTCTCATCTCCTGACCTCGTGATCCACCCGCCTCGGCCTCCCAAACTGCTGGGATTACAGACGTGAGCCACCGCGCCCGGCCGTGAATACCTTCTATGTGTGAAGCAGCACACCAAGATGATAGATGAATCCTTAAAAGGAGCTTGGAGCTTGGTCAGTAGTGGACATAAGAGCGAAACGTAGAACATGGAGAGCAGTATTTACCAAATCGTATTCTGGAGAACTATGTTAATTAGTGTTATAAGAAAGCAAAACAATTAGGTTCGGGAAACACTGAATCTAACGCCCTAGATGGATTTCTCCATTGCAGGACTTTCTGTGCCTCCAATATGTTACTTGTGAATCTCCAGGAGGGAGGGTAAAGTATGATGCATTTACCAAATTTACTTGACTACAGAATTCTATGTAATGAGCATCTTTCAGGACTAAGCAGGCCAAGGCACACTTTTAGGAATGTTGGGGTATAACTGATAAGAAAACAGTAAGAAATTCTGAAAATTAAATCATAACATTTGGCTTGAAGAAACCAGGTCAGATTTTGTAAAGGTGACATTTTGAGTTCAGAAATTAGAAATACAGCATCAGAGATAACTGAATTTTATAATGATCTATGCAGGAAGTCTCAGACTCTTCAATCCTCAAAGATTGGAAGTCATTACCTGACTGAGAAGCAGGGCGAGGAGTCCTGGGCTGCAGCTCTGGATTGGGGCCTGGTGCCATCATGGAAGACGACACATTTCCACCTGGGGGTATCATAACAGTGGCAGGGTTGTTCATCCTTATTATTCCTAGAAAAAAAAATCCCTAGAATAGAGTACTGGTATTGGCACGATTTTTGTTTTTTAGTGAACTATTTCAAGAATACAAAAAGATAAGGGAAATTTCTTTTTTTTTTTGACAGGGTCTCACTCTGTTGCCCAGTCTGCCAAGCGACACAATCACAGCTCACTGCCACCTCGACTTCCCAGGCCCAAGTGATCCTTCTGAGGCAGCCTCCCAAGTAGCTGGGACTACAGGCATGTGGTACTGGGACCACAGGCACACACCACTGTGCCCAGCTAATCATTCTATATTTTATAGAGATGGGGTCACTATGTTGCCTAGGTTGGTCTTGAAGTCCTGGGCTCAAGTGATCCTCCCTCCCAAAGTGCTGGGATTACAGGTGTGATCTACCATACCTGGCCTGGAAATATCTACACCCATCATCTCCCTTTTTAAAATCTAAAAAATTTGCTCTTATCTCCTTCAGATATATAATGTAGATAGAGCAGAAGCCCCTGCTCCTTCCATTCTACTTTCTCCCTCCTATTGCAATTGGGGTTAACAACAGTTCCATGCATGTTTATTAACCTTTTCTGTATCTGTAGGTAAACTGCACTTTTTCTGTAGGTAAACAGCATTTTTTATATGCTTTTAATCTTTGTATAAATGGTACTTTATGCATTCTTCATCAGCTTCCTTTTTTACTTAATGTCATTTTTTGAGATTATCTCTCTCGGCTGTTACAAGGGCTCCACTGTAGAACCATATAGCTACCTTTCTGCTGATGAATACTAAGGTTTTATTTTTCCCTTATTCTTATAATTTTGCAATGTTGTGTATTTGTCATGAATTCTTATGGATATGTGAGCGTATCTTTAGACTATATCTTAGAATTGCTAGGTTTTAAAGTCTAAGCATCTTTAATTTTACTAGATATTGGTAAACTGCTCTAAAAAGTGGTTATACCAATTTATACTCAAACTAGCAGTTTGAGAACTCCTCTTTCTCCACATCTGAAAATTTCTGAAACTGTTAGACTTTTCAGAATAACCATCTATGCTCATAAATGAGAATATGCCAGGCATGATAGCTCATGCCTGTAATCCCAGAGCTTTTGGAGGCCAAAGTGGGAGGACTGCTTGAGGCCAGGAGTTTGAGATCAGCCTGGGCAACAGAGCAAGACCCCGTCTCTACAAAAAATAAAAAAAATCAGCCAGTGTGGTGGTGAGCGCCTGGATTACTAGCTATTTAGGAAGCTGAGGCAAGAGGATTGCTTGAGCCCAAGAAGTTCGGGTTGCAGTGAGCTATGATCATGCCACTCCTCTCCAGCCTGGGCAACAGGGCAAGAGCTTGTCTTCAAGAAAAAAAAGTGACAACTGCCTTCCTTACTCTCTCTTCCTTTCTTTGGCTACAGAATTCTCATGAAGACTCTTGCAGGACTAAGTAGGCCAAAGAACACTTTTAGGAATGCTGGGGTATGAATGATAGAACAATGAAAAATTCTAAAAAGAAAATGACATTTAGCTTGAAGGGCAGATTTTGTGACATCTTTGATTTTTGGCATCAAGATGAAAATAACCTCAGAATAAGTTGGAAAGCACCTTTCTTCTTTTTCTATGCTCTGGAAGAGTGTGTGCATCTGTTCTTTAAATGTTTCATAAAACTTTCCTGTAAAACCATCTGGACTTATAGATTATACTAATTGATTTACTGGGAAACATTTTTAATTATTTCAATTTCTTAAATGGTTATAGACTTTTCAAGTTTTCAATATCTTAAGTCAATTTTTATTAAATTTTAATTTGCCAACACTTAAAAATTTACTAGCATAAAGTTAATCATGAAACTCCAATCTCTACTAAAAATACAAAAATTTGCTGGGCATGGTTTTGGGCACCTGTAATCCCAGCTACTCAGGAGGTAGAGGCAGGAGAATTGCTTGAACCTGGGAGGCAGGGGTTGCAGTGAGCCACTCCAGCCTGGATGACAGAACAAGACTCCTTCTCAAAAAAAAAAAAAAGAAAAAGAAAAAAGGCCGGGCATGGTGGCTCATGCCTATAATCCCAGCACTCTGGGAGGCTGAGGTGGGCAGATCACCTGGGGTCAGGAGTTCAAGACCAGACTGACCAACATGGAGAAACCCTGTGTCTACTAAAAATACAAAATTAGCCAGGCGTTGGGATGCATGCCTGTAATCCCAGCTACTTGGGAGGCTGAGGCAGGAGAATTGCATGAACCCAAGAGGTGGAGGTTGTGGTGAGCCAAGATCGCACCATTGTACTGGGGAGCAAGAGCAAAACTCTGTCTCAAAAAAAACCAAAAAAAAAAAAATTTTTTTTTCTTTTTTTTTTTTAATGTAGTACTGGGACAAAAAAAAATTTTCTTTTTTAAAGAAACATCTTTCAGTTTTGCTGCTCTGTTGTTTTTTTGATTCATATTTTACTTATCTCTGCTCTTATCTTTATTATTTCCCTCCTAACTTATTTCCCTGCTGTTCTTTTTCTCAATTTTTAAGTCAGGCACTTAGCTTGTTAATTTTCAGTTGGTATTCCTTCTTCATTAACACAAATTTCTGAAAGCTTGAAATTTCTTCCAAGTGCTGTACTGGCTACATCTCACACATTTTAGTATATATTATTCTCATAACTCCATTCTAAATATTGTCTCATTTCCATCAGGATTGCTTTTTAAAAATCACTGAGTATTTATAATGCATTTTTACATTTCCAAAACTATGGGATGTTTTGGTTAGGCTTTTTCTTTTCTTTTCTTTTTTTTTTTTTTTTTGCCACTGACTTAACCTAAAAGCACTGAGGTCAGAGAACAGGATCTGTGTGATATTAATATGATATTAATATTTGTTATTTACTAAAACTGGCTCTTGGAATAATCCCTGGTCAATTTGTATAAATTTTCCATTTATGCTCAGAAATGTTAAGAATTCTTGAATTATGACTTCTAAAATGTCAATTATATAAAAACTATTTTTGTTTATTCAAGCTTCCCTTTATCCTTACTAATTTTTTACAAAGTTAGCCCATCAATTACTCAGAGGTCTGTTAAATCTCCCCTAAGGTTTGCTATGTACATGTAATTCTTAAAAATGTCTTGAGGTTAGGTTGTTAAGTACCTAAGAGTTTACCAACTTCCTGGTGAATTTCTCCTTTTACATCATATAGTGGCCCTATTACTTTCAGTGATGTTTTTAATTTTAATGTCTGTTTTATCTGATAAAAATATTATACCTGTTTTTCTTGGTTAAAAGTCACCTTGTTAATCTTTTATCTTTCTAACTTTGAACCTTCTGAGTCCTTATATTTTATGTGTTTCCTGTAACTGTACATAGGTAAACCTGACAATACTATTCTGATTAATCATTTCCTTTTTGTCAGTTTGTAATCCATTTACCTTTATTGTTAACTACAAGTATATTTTGATTTATTCTGTCATTTTATGATTTCTATTTACCCTCCTTTTTAGTGCTGTTTTCCTATTTTTCCTGAATTTTACTGGATTTGTTTTCATCATGGTCTTCTTCTTTAATCCTCCACTGCTAGTTTAGAAGTTATATATTCTATTCAGGTTATTTTACTGGTATCTTTAAAATGTCAACAGACATACTTGACTGACTAAAGACAATATATGATCATCATTATTACTAAATAAGTCAGTGCTTATTTAGATTTACCCCATGCTTATCAATTATTTAGCTCACCATTCCTTCTTAGATCTTACTTCTTCCATCTTAGGTTCAATTTTCTTCTTCCTGAAGTACATCCTTGAGCAGTTCAATTAGCAAAGATCTGTTAATGGTAAATTCTCTTACTCTCTTTGAAAAGCTCTTTATTTCTTTTTTTTTTAAGCTCTTTATTTCATACTACTCTTGATAGTATAGCTATGTTTAAAATTCTAGGCCATCAATTATTTTCTTAGCAATTTGAAAAAATTATTCCAATGCTTCCTGTCCCAATGCTGCTGTTGGGAAATCAAGAAAAGCTGATAGCCTTTCCTTTGTAAGTAATAGGTCTTTTCTTTTGGGTTGCTTTTAACATTCTGTTTTTTAGTGTCCTGTAGTTTTACGATATTGTGTCTAGATGTAGATTTATTTTTATTTTGTAGTGCTCGGGATTACTGGGCTTCTGAATCTGCAGACTTACGCCTTTCATCTGTTCTGAAAAACTCTCTTTGACTGTCATCCCTCAATTTCTTTATCTTCTTCACAAACTCTTTTCAAACGTGTTAAACCATCTCATTTTATCCTTCGTGTCTCCTGACTTCTTTCATATTTCCATCTCTTTATTTTTCTCTGCTGCATTGAGTGGTTTCTTCAAATTCACCTTTCAATCCAGCTATTTCTAATTTGCTTAATAAGTTATTCACTTCAATGGTTTTTAAATTTCTATAAGTTCTGTTCCCCCATCTCTCCTATGATTTAATAGTGTCTTGTTTTCTTATGATTGTCGTGTTAATACTCTGATATTCCTGTTACCTAAAATTCTGGAGGGAGGGAGGCTAATCCTAAATTGTATAAATTTGGAATCTAAGCTTGTTTATATCAGGCTTTAAGTAGAAGTCTGCAATGATCTGGGTTGGGAATATGCCCCTCCACAGCTGCAACAGTTATCACCAGTCTAGACCCACCTAATGTTAATAACTTAGCCTGGCTGTTCATGAGTATTCACCAACATAGTAAATGTCCAAAATTTAAGAGGGTAGACAAGACAGTTCCACAACACCCCTTCTCCCACCTCACATCTAGAGCCCCAGCGAACACAGACAAATTTCCCATTAGTTTTCCTATGTGAAAGGGTGACATTTTCTTATCTTTCACTGAAAATTCTGGCTTCATGAGGAATTCTGAATTCTAATTTGCTTCTTCATGTGGACCCAAAGCTTCATCTTTTATTCCTTCTTGGCCATTAAAGCCCAAATGCCTTGGATCCCGCTGGATCTCATTTGTTTACTGCCATTAAATATTCACCTTTGACAGTTTTTTTTCCCTCCCTAGAAAGAGTTCTACTTTCTCTTCCCACCCCTCTGCTTTCTTCCAAGCCCAGCTACATATTAAATGTTACAGGCTGGGAGTGGTGGCTCATACCTGTAATCCCAGCACTTTGGGAGGCCAAGGCAGGTGGATCACTTGAGGTCAGGAGTTCGAGACCAGCCTAGCCAACATGGTGAAACCCTGTCTGTACTAAAAATACAAAAATTAGCCAGGCATGGTGGTGCACACCTGTAATCCCAGCTACTTGGGAGGCTGAGATGAAAGGATTGCTTGAACCCAGGAGGTGGAGATTGCAGTGAGCTGAGATCACACCACTGTACTCCAGCCTGGGTGACAGAGTGAGACTCCCTCTCAAAACAAAACAAAACAAAACAAAAAAAATCCCCCCCCCAAACGCTCTCATGAGATAAGAAACAGGCTTTCTTGGTCCATAATGAGCTTCCTAGTCCCAGAAGTTTTCAAATATATGCTGAGACTACATGTTCAATAGTGACACTGTAACATGCATTCCGGTACTAGGTGGGAATCTGGACAAGATCCAAGGTTTTCACCAAATTTCCTCTCACCTAGGGGAAATTTGGTCCCCTGGGGGACATTTGGTAATGTTTGGAGACATTTCTAGGTGGCACAACTGTAGAGAAGGAATAGTGGTACTACTGGCATCTGGTGGGTAGAAGCCAGGGATGCTACTAAACATCCCACAACGCACAGGACAGCCTCCCACAGCAAAAAGCTATTGGCCCCATACATCAATAATGTTGAAGTTGAG